AGAAGGGGTTCCTTTTTACATTTTTAGGTATATAACTATTCAGTTATAATAGTTTTTTGACAATTTGTCAGATCACTAAAATTATTCTTCCCAAAAGAAAATCTTCAAGTAGCTAATGGGTATAGGAAAAAATGTCCCCCATCACTACCCAGCAGAGAAATGCCAGTCAGAACCACAGTGAGATCCCATCCTCCCCAGGTAGAGTGGCTGTGATCAAGGAGACAATAATCACAAAAGCTGGTAAGGGTGTGGAGAGAAGGGTGGTCTCACACACCGGTGATAGGAGGTGCTTCATACGGCCTTGAAGAAAAACAATATGGAGGCTCCTCAAAAAACCAGAAAAACGACATGATCCAGCATCGGCCACTGCTGGTGTCCACCCAGAGGGAATGGGCTTGTCGTATGTACGACATCCCCGCCCTCCGCACACGGGACGTGGGTCAACCTAAGCCTCTTCAGTCTTCATTTTAAAGAACCAGCTACATCATGACATCTCTCACCGCTCTCACACTTTGTTTGGAATATTACATTTAAAAAAAAAAATAGGAATTCCCTCTGAAGGATTTGACCAAGTCATAAAGCCAAATGACAAAACACACCACCACCACCACAATGAGGAACAGCTCTAGGGACTCCAGAGAGGGGCTTCTGATCCGTGCCCCAATCCTGAATTCCCAGGAAGTAACCCCACCTGTGGCGTGAGCAGCCTGGGACCTCGGTGGCATTCCTAGTGCGTGCAGGTGGTCCCCAGCCTTTGCTCTATGCCATCTGCAGGGCGTATGTTCTACAGCCTCCCCAGAGCACACCGCACGGTGCCCAAGGCTATGGGTCCCCAGGGAACAAGCCATCAAACTGACACCAGCTCTGGAAACCACAGCGCTGCCTCCGCAAGATGAATGGGCTCAAGCTCTCCTTCACCCCGTGGCCATATACCTGGGGCAGAGCGTTTGGAGGTGGTTGAGGATCATGGTCAAGGCAGGTCCTTCCCTTTTCATCTGACAGAATCATCCCAGCATGGCCCCAGATGGTTCTCGCACTCGTGGGTAAACACCATTTGTCACTCAGAATGAGAAGCGGGAAGGGGAGGTTAACATACCTATAGATAATACATGCACTGTTCCTGCATGTGTCACAATTAGCTGTGTCTTGCCCCGTCCGATATGAAAGCCTACAAGATAAGAACAGGAGAGCATTACAAGCGGTGGCTGGGGGTCGCTGGCCGCACAGAGCAGATGCCTCACACCAGATGCTTCCCAGTGCCAAGCTCGTCCCCGTCCTGGAAACCAACTGATGTGTGTCCCCAGTTTGTTCCTGTCCCTGCATTTATTGTACACAAGCCTTGCAGCCTCTGAAACTGGCATGATCTTTAAATTAAGTTTAGGACATAGAAATAATAATAATTTAGAAGCATAAGCTACTGGATGAAGTATATAATCTGATTTTGTTATGAGCACAGGGAATTTGGGATGTTTCAGTGCAGCTTTATATTTATAATGTTATGAAGAAACTTTGAGGGAAAAACGGCTGTAGACCTGGGTGGTGACTCCCTGGCTTGCTCAGGCCCACCCCTGTCCTGCGGCAGCCCAGAGGGCATGAGGCCCG